GGCTCAGTGGTTGAGCATCAACCCATGCACCAAGAGGTCACCGGTTCAATTCCAGTCAGGGCACATGCCCAGGTTGTGGTCCTGATCCCCAGTGGCGGGCATGCAGGAGGCGGCTGATCCATGTTCTCTCTCATCAATGTTTCTATCTCTCTCTCCCTCTCCCTTTCTCTCTAAAAGTCAATAAGGAAAACCAAAAAAGCAGTCCTCAGGTGATGCTGATGCACACTGAAGTGAGAACCGTGCCCTGAGAACTCTTCCAGCCAGCAGCCAGGCTGTGAGCAGATCACCTCAATCCAACTGGGGTCGGAGCTGATTCAAAGCCTGCTTTCTGTCTCGTTTCTGGTTTGCTCCCACCAGAAAGAGGGGTAGTGCTAAAGAGGTTGAAAACCGAGGCTATTTTCTGGGTCCCCCCCCCCTTCACTGGCCCTGAAGTCCAGTTTTCCTCCCTGGTCTCTGACTCTGAGGAGAAGGGGAAAGTGGTACCCAGGGCCAGGCTCCCCGCTCCGTGTTTCTCTTTCCTCTGGGATCCCGGCACCTTGACCCCTCAAGTTTTTGTTCCCTTGGTGACTATCCAATGCCCTCATATTTGCCCCTAGCATTTCTAGCTATTATTGCAAGTTTGGTGTAACACGAGTTTGTCCGCCACAGCTAGAAGAGGAAGCCCCCATCCTATTTGTATTCTCCCACTAGAATTATAGAGTTAAAATGAGCATGAAGAACAGTTCAGTGTCTGGCACGCGGCAAAAAGCTCAATAAGTGTTAAGTTATTATTCTTCTTCTCCCAATAGAATCCAAGAGTCATATTGAGCCGAGCTGTTAAAAATCAACACCTTCTACCCCGTCCATACATTTTATAGATAAGCTGATGTTCCACTGTGTTGTGATTGGGCTCAGGTGCAATCGGACTCCAGTGGGAGGCTGTAATTGGATTCTAGTGGACTCCTGGATGGCTCCCTGTCCCTGGTCTGAGAGCTGGCAGTATGCTCTCTATCCCCAAATCAGCGACTAGATAACCTTAGGGCCCAGCTCAATTCTCAGCTCAAAAGAAAACAAGCCAGGGGCTGTGGCCTCTCAGGTTCACCTTCTCTCCCTCTCCTCTTGTGGGGCCCAGACACCTAGCCCCAAATGCACAATTTGGAGCAATCTTTTTAGCTTCAGAAGCCCAGACATCTCATGTCTGTCTTCTGGAGCAGAGTGCACATGCTCACCAGCAAGTAGGCAGGCATACAACACTGCACGCAAGGTAGGCACACACAGCCCGGGGGATACCAGGAAGCAGAGGTGGAGATGAAAATTGGTCTGCTTTGCAATTGGTCTCACTCCAGAGAACAGGGAGAAGCAGCCCTCAGCCACCGACCACGAGATCAGGCCAGGACAAGGGCAGAGAAGGCTCCTGCTGGGGACTTACCACCCACTTCTTGCCAGAGGTCAGTGCTGGGTCCCTGGGATTAGCTCAATGAACTCCTGTGTGGCCCCAGCAGGTTATGGGGAGAACATGACCTGTTAGAAAACTATGACCCTTGACTGCCACTAGGAGCAGGTGTTGCAGCTGCTAGCTTGGTTGCTTTATGGAATTGGAGGGGTGTGTGTCTGTGTGTGTCTGTGTGTGCGTGCACGCATGCACATACACCTTTCTGTGTATGCCAGGTAGGTTTTGATGCTGTGCTCAGCATCTAAACCCAGAAGGAACCCTCCAGCCTGGGGAAATTGTAAACTGATTTTAGATAATTTGGTTCAGAAGAAATCTATGCACTTACTTTGTTCTGGTTTAAAAGTAGTACATGCTCATCATAAAAAATGAATGTGGAAAACTGAAAAACCATGGTGTAAAAAAGAAAGTGGAAAAACACCTGTGCTCTCACCCCTAGAGATCATCGCCATTGACATTTTGCTGGAGCTAAGATTACGTGCACATACTGCCTTCTCACTGAATCTGCAGTGAGCATTTCTCATGTCGCTCCTCTTCGTAAACCTGTTCCAAGGCCTTGTACCACCTGGTATTGTTGAGCCATAATTTATTTAGCTTGTCCCTATTCTTGGACGTTCAGGTAGCTTTCAGTTTGTCCTTATTGTAGAAAACCCGAGATCATACATCTTTGTACAATGAAGTACTGAGAAGCTTTGCCTAATGGCACAATCCAAGAAAGGTTGTATGACCTGGGTTCCAGAAGCTTAGCCGGGTGTACTTTGACCAAAAGAGCGTGGTTGGCAAGGCCAGGGCTTTTTAAGTTTTTTAAAAATATATTTTTATTGCCCAGCCCTGGTTGGTTTTGCTCAGCGGTTAGAGCATTGGCCTGCGGTCCAGAGAGACCTGGGTTCGGTTCCCGCTAAGGGCACGTACCTCGGTTGCAGTTTGTCCCCAGCCCTGGTTGGGTCGTGCAGGTGGCAACCATTCGATGTGTCCCTCTCATGTCTATGTTTCTCTCTCTCTCTCTCTCCCTCCCACTCTATCTGAACAAAAAATGGAAAGGTGTCCTCGGGTGAGGATTAAAAAAAACAAAACATTTTCTTTTCTTTTTTTTTTTTTTGGCACGTGCCCCTCGCCGCTAGGGCCTAGCAGAAACCGAGCCCGGACTCTGGTCCACAGGCCGATGCTCCAACCACTGAGCCAAACTGACCAGGGCTAAAAAAAAATTATTGCCCAGCCCGTATGGCTCAGTGGCTGACCATCGTCCCATGTACCAAGAGGTCGTCGGTTTGATTCCCAGTCAGGGCACATGCCCAGGATGTGGGTCAAACACCCAATGGGAGGCATGCAGGAGGTGGCCAATTGATGTTCTCGCTTATTGATGTTTCTATCTCTCTTTCCCTCTCCCTTATCTCTCTAAAGTCAATAAAGAAAAAAAAATTTTTAGTAAAATAAAATAAATCCAGGGCAAGACATGACCATGTGAATCTGTCACCCTCCAGCTTTCTGATGTGCTTGAGAGGCAGAGAGCCAGGTCCCTGGGCCACCTGGCCTGCCCGTCCTCTCTCCACGCTCTACTTCTACCTGACGCATCCCAGAGTGCTATGCGGGCCTGGTGTCGACACGCTAAAGGGTTGCCTTTCCCTCCTCCAGCCAGCCCTGAGCACCTATTGTGCACCCTTCCCAGGTACACAGAAGGTGCTCAGGGCTGGCTGAAGGAGGAAGAGGCGGCCCTGAGAGTGTCTACACTCCAGCCTTTGAGTGTGTCTACACTTGCAGGTAAGATGTGCAAGTCCAGATTTCAACACTCAGGAGGCCCTGCCTTAGATCCCACAGGAACTTCCCAAAGTAAAAATTTGCCTTAGAGGGGAGGTTAGCATAAGGTGCATCTGCCTGAGAACATACCTGGGAGAAGCATCCTCCCCCAGGAAGAGGTGACAACTGGTCCCATCCAACCCTAGAACAAATCCTCCCTCAACCCAGTACCCACCTGCCACCAAGTCCTATCAATATCTCCTAAGGTCATCCTTCTCTCTCTCTCTTTATAAGCATTTTTAAATTGATCTTAGAGAGAGGAAGGGAGGGAGAGAGAGAGTGAGAGAGAAATATCAATGTGAGAAAGAAACATCGATCAGTTGCCTCCTACACATGCCCCAACCGGGGATCGAACCCACACCTGAATATGTGCCTGACTGGAAATCAAACCCGACACCTTTTGGTGTACAGGAGGATGACCCAACCAACTGAGCCACATCGACCAGAGTTCATCCATCCTTTTTTCTTTTCTTTTTTTTTTTTATATCCTCACCTGAGGACATTTTTCAGTATTTTTTTTTTTTTTTTTATCCTCACCCGAGGATATTTTTCCATTTTTTGTTCAGACAGAGCAGGAGGGAGAGAGAGGAAGAGAGAGAGAGAGAAACATCGATGTGAAGGGACACATCGAGTGGCTGCCACCCGCACGACCAACCAGGGCCGGGGACAAACTGCAACCGAGGTACGTGCCCTTAACGGGAACCGAACCCGGATCTCTCGGGACCGCAGGCCGACGCTCTAACCGCTGAGCCAAACCGGCCAGGGCCATTTTTCAGTATTTTGTGCAGATAGAGTGGGAGGGAGGGAGAGAGAGAGAAACTTTGACGTGAAAGGGACACATTGAGTGGTTGCCACCCACATGACCCAACCAGGGCCGGGGACAAACTGCAACCGAGGTACGTGCCCTTAGCGGGAACCGAACCCGGGTCTCTCTGGACCGCAGGCCGACGCTCTAATTGCTGAGCCAAACCGGCCAGGGCTCATCCTTTTTTCTTTATCTCTCCATTGAGTCCCAGTTGTCTTTAGCTGATCTGACGCCATGGCAAAGCCTCCTAGATGATGGATGTCACAGCCAGCCTACCCCTCTCCAAGCCCCTCCCCACACATAGATATGGAAAGGCGTCAGGATCCAACCTCATCCTATCACACCTGCCAAGACCTGTGAATTCCTCTTAGATTCCAACAGGGCTGCATGGTCTGGCTCCATCCCCATTCCTACCTCCTTCTGTACCCTGAACCACACCAGCCTTCTCCCAGGCTCTCAGACCTGCCATCCTTTCTCTGGCCTCTGCATGAAATGTGTTCCCCTCCCCTGCCCTTGTCAACTTGTCCTCTTCCTTCAGATCCCAGCTTCAAAGCCTTCCCTGAGCCTCTGTGTGAGTCCATCGTCTGTTCTTTCACCTGCGGCTATACTTCTTTGGGCAGCTGTCTTCTCCACCAGGCTGTAAGCTCCGAGAAGAAAAAGTGTGTACTCTCCCCCCGCCCCCCACACCGTCACACCCCAGAGTCTATGTGCAGTCCCTGGCACGGGGCTGGCGCTCGGTAAATATGCGTTGACTGGATAACTGAACAATCCAATTCTATGTGGTAGGTACAACTGTTATCCCCAATTCACAGACCAAGAGATGGAGACGTTTCTGAAAAGTTAAGGAGCCAACTCAAGGTCCCACAGCTGGCCAGTGGCAAAGGCAGGGTCTGAGGCGAGTCAGCCTGTGCTCTTAACCACTTCCAGTCCTGCATCCAGCCTCAGGGTCTGTCTGTCTTGCGCTCCCAGCAGGCTCTCTGACGACTGCTCAGCTGGCCCAGATTCCCTTTCCTGGAGCTGCCCCCGGAACCATGGAGAGTCTGAGTGAACTACAGAACCCTCTGCTGCCTCGGAGCCCTGCCCACCTCCACGGCCCCTGCCCCTACCCCTACCCCGAGGCCTCACCCAGCTGGTCTTGCCAGGAGAAGCTCTACTCCTTCCTCCTGGGAGGTTCTGGCCCTGCGGGCGCCCACCAGCTCCTGGACCCAGGGTCCCTGCAGCTGGCTGTGGAGGCCTGGTACAGGCCTAGCTGCCTCTTGGGGAGGGACAAGGTCAAGGAGCCCAGAGCAGGCAGCTGTGAGACCAGCTTCACAGAGAGCAGGGAGCCCCAGGCAGGGCCCACAGACTGGCCCACAGAACCTGGCCAAGCCGAAGAGGGTGTCACCATCCAGACTGTGTCCTATGAGGTTCAAGAGGAGCTGCAGGGACAGGAAGATGACCAGGAGGAGGAGGAGGTGAGTACATGTGTTTAAAACCCAGATTCCCAGGCCCACCGCCAGGTGTTGAGATTAAGTTGGCCTGGCCTGGGGCCCAGAAATCTGTACGGTACCAAGAAAGGCCCTGCTGACGAGGCTGCCGCCCACACTGAGACACACTAGCCTGGCTGAACTGTTTAATTTTTAAATAGCATTTATTGTTCTTGTTATCTTAATTATGTAAGTAATATACAGTTAATACAGAAAACCACTGGAAGATAACATTATTATCTTAGTGGGCAATCTTCTAGTCTGTTTTTATTCGTGTTTTTATCTCATCCCAATCCCCAAGAGAGATCTTGCTGTGCCTCGTTTTATAACCTGATTTTTCTCTCTAAGCAACATATTTCAGTATTGCTCCACATAATTTAATCTCCTTACAAGGTGACTGTAAAAGGTTCCGTGGTGGTTATTCTCCTGATCAGTGGGCATTGTGATTGTTTCTGATCTTTCACACTCACTAACTAGTGCTGAACGTGCCGGTACATATATACTTATGTTCTTTCCTTGTGATAAATTCCAAAAGATGGAGTCACTGGGTCCTTGCTGAGGTTTTTGGTAGAGAACGCCAAGCCCAACCCACACTCCCACCGACAGAGGAGACTGCCCGTCGCCCCACATCACTGCCACTGGGTGATCCTGGGTCACGAACCCCACTCCTGTTTTGCAGAGTGATGCAACCTCCACAGAGAGCGACAGTGAAGACAACTTCCTCACGCTGCCCCCCAGGGACCACCTGGGCCTCACTATCTTCTCCATGCTCTGCTGCTTCTGGCCGCTCGGCATCGCTGCCTTCTACTTCTCCCAGGGGGTAAGACTCGGGGGGGCCCAGGCCTTGCTCCAGCCACCCTCCTCCCTTGGGGGGCTTGGCAGAGGCATGTACAGGAGGGCTCAGGGGCCTGGCGGGCCGGGGCTGTTTGCTGGGCCTGGGGGTGCCCCCTTTCACCAGCACATCTCTCTCCCTAGACCAGCAAGGCCATCTCCAAGGGGGACTTCCGCCTGGCCAGCGCCACCTCCCGCAGGGCCCTCTTCCTGGCCACGCTCTCCATTGCCGTGGGGGCCGGGCTCTATGTGGCCGTGGTGGTGGCTCTGGCAGCTTACATGTCCCGCAATGGCCATGGCTAGTGGCCGGCAGGGTCCAGCATCCTGACTCCCCTGCTCCACCTGAGGGGCTGCGGGGCTTGGAGCTGCAGACTGTCTGGAAAGCCCTGCCCCCGAAGACAAGCCGTGAGGGCGCTGTTGGGGGCGGCCTCCCAGGCTGCAGGGCTCAACCGTCATTTCGTCCCGCCCACTGCCCCTCGCCCCAGAGCAGGGCCGGGGCACCTCCCTCCAGCCTGGGCTGTGTTGGGAAGCGGGGAGAGGGTGGGCTGCCCACCACACCAACCAGGAGGGGCCCACCTCTGGCTTGATGCCAGCTTGGAGCTCAGCCCATTCTGCCCACTTTCTAGAGTGTCTGTGCCCTCAGGCACCCACCACCCAACTCTGCCAGCTCTCCACAGGGAAAGAGCAGGGGGTCACAGGGAGGGAAAGGGATGCCTGGGGGGCAGGGGACCTGACCCAGTCCTTTCAGCTCATAAGAGTCTCCACCCTGGGGACAGCCTGAGCTTCCCCATCGCACCATCTGGCCTCATGATGCCCAAACCCCAGCCAGCCAGGAGGGAAATTCATGGAGACACAGGGGCCCCTTGCTCTTTCTGGCTCTGGATGGTGCTTATCTCTCCTGAGAGCTTGTGAGACTATAGATTCTAGAAGGAGGGGGCTCAGGCATGTAAACTCTGCCCCAAGGCCAGGTTCCTGAGCTTCTCTGTGCAGGAACAAAAGGCAGATGTGATGGCAGAGGTCCTGGAATATTGCCGGACTACATGGGGCTCCACACTCTGCCCTGGTCCCGCTCTCATCATCCTTTCCTGGGCTCCGGGGGGCAGCCCTGAGAGGGCACCATCCACGGTAAATGGAGAGAGACTGCTGTCAGCAGCCCCTCAGCCACTGAGCGCGGGGCTCTACATCCTATGGGAAAGCAGCGAGGAGAGACCCTGGCTGAGTATAGTGAGTGTAGCTGAGGGAGGGACGCAGGGCTGGCATGACTACTGAGCAGCCAGCACAGCTCAGGAAGGCTTCCTGGAGGAGGTGTCCCTTTGGCAAGGTCTAGAAGGATGGGAGAATTTATCTAAGGGATTTGCTTTCCCATAATCCTTAGTATTCATGGGTGGGCGTGACAGGAGGCTCCCTAGAGGAGTTCCAAGCTGTTTGAATTATGCCTAGAGCATTGGGCTGGAACCGAACTGCAATGATTTCTAGGGGCTTCACCAACTCAGAGAAGAAGGTTGAGTCTCTCTCTTAAAAACTAGTGATGTTTTCCCACCTCTGAATGCTGGGGGTTAGTGGTGGGCCCCTGGTCGGCCTTGGGGATCCTTTGTGGATACCTCTGCCCAGAGTTGCTCTCAACACCCCAGCCACTAGGGAACATCTAGAATTTTAGAGACATACAGGCAGGCAGCAAAGCGGCACATGGGAAGGCAAGCCTGTCAGGGCTCAAGCTAAGACCTCATTGTGCATGATTTGGGGACCTAGTCGTTCCCCGGGCCCCATCCAGAACCTGGGGCTGTAGATCCACCACTGACCCACCTTGTCCCACCGTCCTCCCTCACCCCAGGTGTCGCCCAGCCCTCCATTCCCTGCATCCCTTGAAGTCCCACAAGCCCGGGATCAGCAGTTTTAATGTCCCATTATTGTGTATATTTATCCTTGTAATAAACATTTCTGTAACACCTGGTGCTGCCTCCACTTTTGCTTGTGCCCCAGCCTTCCCCACGTCTGTCGGCTGCTCCTGGCCCCCAGCCACGTTCCCGAGAGGACGGGCTCACATCTGGGCCCCAGATTCTCTCCCTCTGTGTGGGAGAAAGAGTCGTGGTGTACACTGCCCCCCCCCCCAGCCGGAGCTTCAGTTGCTTGCAGCAGCAATTTGCTTGAGAGGCTGCCTTCCTCTCCTGTCTTCCTCCTCACTCGCCTGTTGTGCTTCCTGGGACCATCTCCAGTAAACTACCTGCAACTGAATCTTTGTCTCTGGGTCAGCTTCTGGGGGAACCCAAACCAAGACACATGCATGCATGTACACATATATTAGCATATGTGTGCATGTGTGTGCGTATGCCTATGCACATGCACACACATGCATTCAGGCACAGGCATGTACACACATGTGCGCACACACGGCGACAGCCCACACATGCAGCGTGTGCCCGTTCAAGGGGTAAAGAAGATGTAGTGGCTGAAGAGTCTCCCCTGGTCTGCCCACTCTGCCATCGCCACATCACCAGCCTGGCTGGGTCCGGAAGGGACAGTGGTCAGTGCACACTCCCATCCACCCTACCCAGGTGGGCAGGCTGCCTCACAGCCAGGACAATTCCCACCTCCTTCCCAACCCTCCAGAAGAGGAAGAAGCAGTGATTTCCTCTGTTCAACCCTGGTCCTGCTCCCTCCTCCTTTTACCTTCCCCATCCCCCGCCCCCAGCTGCAAATCCAGGCTCCGCAGGAGAAAGTGGAACCAGAAACAAGCTCCTAGGGGCATCTTTCCTGCAGCCCCTGCGAAGGGTCCATCCTGTTCAGTCCCTGCAACACAAGTTGGCCCTGCTCTGTCATGCCAAGGCCTCTCTCTGGGCACACCTGGGGCACTTAAGGCTTCCTGCTTCCCAGCTCCGCCTGTGCCTCGCCGCCTGGCGCTCCTGGGAGGCACAGGGGCTTGTAGTTATCCCCCTCAGGATGGCTCCGCTGGTTGGCAGAGAGAGGCTGAGCGCAGGAGGATCCTCTGGGTAAAGGTGCCCTTGATGAGCTGCAGTGCCAGCACATGTGTGCAAATATTACCGATTATCCTCCTCACTATAAACACCCAGCAGGAAGGCAGGGAAGCGACCAGCCCAAACTGTTTAAAATAGAAACCGAAATTGCTGCACAGGAATGTCAGGCAACCGGCACAGCAGGGGCCCTGCCCCAGGACTCCAGGGTCTGCCCCTACCAGCTGCCCTTGAATTGCACCTGCTCCCACTTCCCCACTCTGCAACCCCACCCCAAGCGATTCTCCTCCACTGGCCAGGTGGAAGGAGAGGCAAGGTCCTCCCCTGGGGGAAAGACCGTCCCAGCACATTTCCTGGGCTTAGCCAGGCCTGGACCCCACCCCAAGGAAGGACAGGGGTGTGCAGAGGCGGGGGCCAGTGACCAAGTTGTCAAGGATGTGAACCCTAAATGTTACAGCAGGAAGGAACCTGGGAGATGATCTAGTCAGTCACTCAGGCTACAGATGAGACAACTGAGGCCCAGAGAGGGAGATGAGTTGCCCAAAGACACCCAGCGAGTTATGAGCCAAGGGCAGGTTCTGCTTCGCAGGCCCTGGAGCTCCTGAGCTAGGCTGGTGATGTCTCTGCCATGGAAACAGAAAACCCAGGGCAACCGCTGCGGGCTGCGGCGGGGTGAATATTAACAAACTTGCTTCCCTCGCTCCCTCCCGGCTGTTTCCTGCTTCAAAGGCTTCCCCGCCAGCCTCTCCCAGGGCTGCTCCTCTACCCTTCTATTTTGGTGGCCTGGCAGGGGCGGGGCTGGAGAGGGATGGCTTTGCCTGCCCCAGACTCACAGCAGCCCCCACCATGGGTGCTTTCACACCCTGCCTGTGACAGAGGCCACAGGTGCTCTAAACAAAAATCAAATGGCCTCGTGCGGCCCATCTGCATGGCCAGATTCTCCCAACCTGCATCCCTTGGGCTGCTTCTCTGTCTCTGTCTCTTTCTCTGTCTCTGTCTCTGTCTCTGTCTCTGTCTCTCTCTGTCTCTCAAGAACCCAGAGGGCTTCAACACCACCTCTGGCTTCACGAGGAAACAAGGAAAGGAATCTGCAGAGGGGCAGGGTGTCCCGAGATGCAGCCAGAAAGGGGACAGAGGGGACAGCGGGCATGTGAGTGACAGTGGGCAGGACCAGTGGGGAGGTGGCAGGGGCAGGCTTCCTTGACAGAGCAACTTGAATACACCGAACACCTAACACCAGCCCTCTCTATTGAGGCAGGTTCCTCAGCCCCCTTTCCAGACAGCGAGACGGAAGCCCGAAAGGCCTTCCTTCCTCCTGGTTCCATGGCTCAGTGAGTGAGTGGTGCCATGCTCCCAAGCGCCTGCCATGGCTCCGTCTTCACCCTGGGCCCACACCCCATCTGAGGCCAACTCCTGGCCATTTCCCTCCTTAATCCTCTCCAGCCCCGTCCTAACACTTCCGCTCGGAGCCGGCCGGGAGCCGCAGCCTCGCACTGTGGTTGAAAGCAGAGTCCGGAGCCAGACGACCTGGCTCAAATTCTATGCCATCTTCCCGTTTGGTATCGTGACGGCGACTACTGCATAGGGTTGCTGTGACATTACACCAATTGATACTTGGATGGCTCCTACAACAGCACTGGGTGTCTAGTAAGTGCCATATGAAAAATGTTTCTAATTATCTCCTGTTGACCACCATCACCCCTTCCACAGCCAGACAGGGAGATTAGAGCCAAAGTCCTGGAGCACGGGGACCCCGCTGGGCTCTCAGCAGTCCCTGGTAGCGAGCTGGAGGCTGTGTCTGCTTCATGTGCTCCCCTGCCTGGAATTCCCTTATCTGCCTCCACTCCCTGACCTTTCCTCCAAAATGATAGAAATCTTCCAAGACACAGTTTGAGAAAACCTCACCTTCTCTATCCTGAACAATGCTCCCCCCACCACACCCCTAGGCACCAAAATGTTGTGGAACTACCCACCCTCTTTCATGAGCCACCACCATACCCATTCAAATTAATATCACAGCCAGCCGGTGTGGCTCAGTGGTTGAGCGCCGACCCATGCACCCAGAGGTCGCTGGTTGATGTTCCCTCTCATTGATGTTCAACCTCTCTCTCCCTCTCCCTTCCTCTCTCTCTAAAAATGAATAAAGAAAAAAAATTTTTTTAAATATATCACAGCCACATCAGCAACCCTTTGCTCCTCTGAGGGAGGGGCTTTCTGTAGACATTCAACACATACTCACTGGGACAGAAGCCACTTGCCACAGCTGGAGAGGGTAGGGGTCAAAATTCTTTCCACTGTGATATCTCTCTCAGAGGGGAGAATCACTCACTTCTTCTGAGAGACAGAAGCAGGAAGGGGTATCTAGGGAGGGGGTCCTTTACAGCTCCAAGGAGGATGAAACAAATGAGAGACAGAAGGGTGGACCCCTGCAGTGTCCAGCCTGGGGGTATCTGAAAAAGGAAAGACCACAGAACTCTTAGATGCCTCCTCCTGCCTTTCATCTGGGATGCCATAAAGACCCACCATTCTGGGGGATCCAGGTCTTTGCTCTGCAGGAAAACATAAACAAGAAAACAAAGAAGCCAGAGTGGCTGCCTGCTCCTGTGTCCTCTCTGGTCTCCATGAGACTCTGGGTTGAGGACAGAGAAGAGGTTTTTTCTTAGTTTCCTCTGCTCCCAACTCAGCCCCTGAGTCACTCCCCTCCCCCCTCCCCCAAAGGAGTCCACAAG